ACATGCAGAGAGTTACACACATGCAGAGAGTTACACACATGCAGAGTTAGCCGATTACATTAAGAGAATATAAACTGGCTGCTTTAATTTGCCAGTGAGCATATGCTCACCACACCTTTGCTGCTAGACGAGGGGCTGAAATCCTCAGCCGGATGATGAATGCTGGCCGTCCTCCCGAACACAGCTCTAATTGGCTCTTTATCAGTTTATCTGGTCCTGAGACAAATTCCCTAAGGAGGTTGTCTTTTATCAAATGCAAGGACCGGTATAAAGGGACGAGAACAAGCCCAGCTCTGCAGGGCCAAACCTGAAGGGCTGGCGCCAAGTGCAAAATGAGTGTGAGCGTGACTAACTGTAACCCGAGTCATCCTAATGAAACTGTCAGAAATAAATCTAAAAACAACTGAATGAAAAGTTAAGACAATGTTGAAAAAGTGCAGGAGTTGCAGAACGATTTAGCAATTTTGAAATTCAAAAACAGATTCTCAATCAGGTGCGATGTAAAAAAAAAAAAAAAAAAAAGGAGAAGCACTGTGGAGTTCAAGTGCTTCACCTTTCGGAGACTTCCTCCTTTCAGGGGGTTGATGAGCGCCACCTGATCTGTGCTCAGAGAGCTTCTCCTCTTAACTACACCGTCACACGCTCACTGATGCGTGCACACACAAAGATGGGGGCGCCCCATAGGTTAGCAATGATCTCACGCCGTCAAGGACAGGTGGGTGTCACCTGCTGGCACAGAGTGACACGGAAAGGTGGTAATCACACACCGGAATGCCGTGACACCTCCGTCACCTCGAGTGTCTGCTGCTCATGTATCCCAAGAGTCACTTAATCAGGGGAGCTTTTTACACCGCAGCGGGAGAGTGCTGTACATGTGTAGCGTTTGGTGTGTCTGTGAGTGTTTGTCATTAACCAACCAGAAGTCTTCAATAAGAGCAGCTGGCATAAAAACAGTTGCCTTTACAATACTTCTAGTCTAAATCTGCCTTGATGCCTGCTCAAACGATTACACTGGCTGTGCAGGATTCTCCATGAGCGCCTCACCAGTCGTGCGTGGGGGTTGCGATGGTAGTAGATCTCTTTGTATTCATCCATCCAGACCTCCGCTGCTCTTACGCTGTTTGCCAGCGCTTTGCTGCGTGAGTAAGGGGCCTTTTTAGGGAACACGTGACCCACGTGGGAGCATGGGTGGACCTCCAGACTGCCTCCACATTGCCAAATCTAAGAGACATCAACCACAGAGCCACAAGGGTTTGGTTAGCCTCTCAGCTATGAATCAATTAGCAAAGCACAATCCTGTAGGGGAGCAGGGAAACTGCATTTACCGTAGTTCAAATTGTCCAAATTCTTCCCTGCAATCAAAGTATTAAGCTGTTTTTTTCAAGCTGTGAAGTTCAAATCATTCATTGCGGTTTGCAGAGAAATGCGTCGCATGATTCTCAGTAAATTTAAACAAGATTTTTAAAAAAATGCAGAAAGGCGCTGCTTATTACTAAAAAAATGTGTGCAGACAGTTTCCAAACTGCTTGGAGAGCATGTACAGTATGCTCGCTGCATAGCTACAACTTTTACACAGGCAGATTCTTTCCTACCCTGAAGGAAAACTCCAGGTTTTCTCCTCCCCACACCTCCATACCCGTGTCATACGTCCCCAGGTAATGGAAGTAGTTCTTGCTCACAGAGAACAGACCGCCTGCCATGGTAGGAGACCTGAAAGTAAAATAAACAACAGTTAACTTGCTGCAAATTAACACATGTGATCTCAGTTTCTGCAGAGTTCTGTGAACACACCTGATGACATCGGTGGGCGAGCGACGGCGTTTCTGTTCGTAGTCTGGAACAGCGTGCCAGGTAAAGACCAGCCGCCAGTCAAAGCCCCCAATTTGAGGTTCACCAGAGTTGCCTAAATACTGGAAGGTGTTCCAGTCGATCACGTCAATGACAGGGCAAACCACGGCTTTTGGTTCTTCTTTAATCCTTGAGGAGAAAAATTCATCTAATCAAAATCACATAAAAAAAAAACACGTGTTGTTTTGTTTCCTGAAAATCTTCTCACCTGTGGAGAAGAGGCTCCAACCAACCCTCGTGGCACTCGCAGTGACAGTCCAGGAAGGTCAGCACATCGCCCGTGGCAACAGACGCTCCAAGCAGCCGGGCCCGCACCAGCCCCTCCCTCTTTGTGGCCCGCACCAGACGCACCTTCCTCAAACCCGACAGGTACTTCTCCAACGGCTCCTTCAGGTGAGCTTCAAGGAAGCACAGTTAAAGCTCATTAAAATATTTGTTTGGAAACACTTTGTACGCGTTAGAAAGTCACAGCTGTGAGCTAAACAGGTTTTTCACTTCAGGAATTTGGGGTCAGGTTTGACAGCGTCAACGATACGCCAGCTTTTATCTTTAAGGCTACAAATCTGCCTTAGCCTTGAACTTAAACTTTATATCTAGCTGCGGATTTGATAAACAACTCAAAAACCAAAGACGCGGACACTTGAAGTGATTTAGTGCAGAGCCATGTTCATGTTCAGCTGAAGATAATCACTTAAGCCCGTCTCATTTTTCACCGGGTGTCACAACAAATTTTACTAGAGCCTAATTTAGTAACACACTAAAGTCACGCTTTGTTTCATCCACATTCATTCTCATTCTCCTCCACTTCATGTTGTCCCAAGAGTTGAACTTCAGAGTTAGCAACTGTGGACATAGTATGTTAGAATGTCTACAGATTTAATCCTAAACTGTCGGATTAAAGTAAATTAGCACCGTTTGCCATGAGACATGTCTCAGCTGGTGCACGTTTTGTGTCTCTAAGTGATCCCCAGTTTTGTCCACTTTAAAAACCGATGTTTAATATTCTTGATAGCCAATTTAAACATTTCAGCTTGATAAGGTGACAATCCAAGAACAAGTTAACTTTAAATGGACGAATACAGGAGTAGATAAGATGGATCTGAAAATATTACTATTAAACCATACCACTTTATTTATAAAGCACTTAAAAACAGCAACAAGGCCAACCAGATATCTAGATTTGACAGCGGTTTTGTTCCTTTAAATTGCACCTTGTGTTCATTTATCAACAGAAAACAGTCCGATACTTGTTGAACTGAGCGCATGCAGCTTGTTGGGGACGAAGCAGGCGCTGCTCTTTATGGTTGGTTGAAAATCCAAAAACGTTTGAACCAGTTACTTACAATCCAAACGCCTGCGGAGCTTTTTCTATAACTTCTGTCAGCTAGAACACACTATCCATCCATCCATCCATTTTCTTTACCCGTTTATTCCATTTTGGGTCATGGGGGTCACCGGTGCCCATGTCCAGCAATCACTGTGCGAGGGGCAGGGTACACCCTGGACGGGTCGCAAGTCCATCACAGGGCCACATAGAGACAAACAACACAAACAACCATTCACTCTCTCACTCACACCTAGGGACAATTTAGAGTTACCAATCAGCCTAACATGCATGTTTTTGGTCTGTGGGAGGAAACCGGAGCACCCGGAGAAAACCCACGCATGCACGGAGAGAACATGCAAACTCCACCCAGAAAGGCCCCTGGACCGGGGTTTGAACCAGGGACCTGCTCGCTGAGAGGCAGCAGCTCTACCAGCTGCGCCACCGTGCCTAGAACACACTAATGAGCTCTTAAATAAAGCATTTGTAAAAAGGGTCAGAGAACCTCAACTTTTTCCTGTTAAAAAGATGAGATTTCTTACACACATTTACTTTAAGCTCACCTGCATGTCCTTATCCTTTTCTCTACGCGACTTCATTATTTGCCAACCTCTCATATCCACCTGCCCTCCACCCATCTAACAGCAACCTGTCCGTGTGCACCCATGTGAGCACTTTTAACAAGCCTCCTGCCTTTTAAAGATGGCAGTCAGCGCCAGCTCCCCCCCCACCAGCTTCCTGCGCCTCTCTCTACCTCTGTCACTGTAGTCATCCACCAGCACCACCTCTGTGAGCAGGACGTCAGGGGATGTCTCCAGCACACTGTGGACCGTCCTCAGCAGGGTGGACCAGGCCTCGTTGTAGAAGGCGATCACCACCGAGGTTGTAGGCAGGGACCTGTAGTCGTACTTGTGATTCCTGCACCTGAGACGTGAAAAGAAAGTTCACTTGACGAGCTCCGACATCTTTAGCTGTGGATTTTGAGAACAGCTGAAAGTGAACTGGGTAGGTCCTGTTTGTCTCTAGTAGGTGGCAGTTATTACTCCACCCCAACAGGAGGCTGAACAAGTTGAGTAAGCCTGAGACTCAACTGAGTTACACTTTTTATGTGGAGTATGAAAGTGTGTAAAGTTTCAGAGGACAGTGTAATGTGGACATTAGTCAGCTGGTTACTCACAGTGGGTTCCACCTCTCTGGCAGTCTGCGGTGCAGTGAGATCCTGTCACTGACATACGTGTTAACCTGGTGTCTGTTAATGCTCTCCTCCTCCTTTCTCCTCTCCTGCTCGTTCAGGCTCAGCTGCAGAGCTCTGCCCATCTCTCCCGGGGCATTTAAATCCAGGGGGGGCTTCTCGTAGACGGGCTTCTTGAGCTGCTCATCATCCACTTCTCGTTTCTTCTCGTCGGTTTCCTCTCCTCCTCCTTCACGTCGATTCGCAGCTTCCCCGGAGCGCTGTCTGAAAAACACGAAATACCCGAATAAAGTGACGCCGAGGAGGAGGAGGAGGAGAACTCTGGGTCGATTCCTTCGACGGCATGCGGCCATTGTGCCGCCTCCTTCAGGTGCTGGGAAAAGTTTGGTCGAGGTTTCATTCCCTTTTAAAATAAAATTAAAAACGGCGGAATTTGCTGGGATTAAACAGGCCAGAAGGCTAGTTCGTCTCCACCAACTTCTCCATGTTTCCCTGTGCCTGTGCCCAGTTCTTCCTTCAGTTTGTGACTGTCCTGTACATTCTGCCACAGCGCTGTTACTTATTTACCGGAACCTCCGTGTTCAACTTTATTGGCGAGAAAGTAAAGCGCTCCTCCTTCTTTGAAATCCTCCAACCGTGTGCTGGATACGTGTGAAAGGATTACTATACTCGGATTAGATTAGCTAGTCATCTCCTCGGATTGGCAGCTGGGTGGCAAACTACAACGACGAAGCAAATCCGGTCCGACCGGGTCGAACCAAACGCTTTCGTTTAAAATTATCTACTGTTTTTATCCAATACACGCATATTGTCTTATTTTTAATATCTCTATATAACTACCTGACTTGGTCGTTTTGTTGTAAACCTTGAACATCGACAAAAATGTACTTTGCGGCTACTTTTTTCTATGCTAAAGTTTAATAAAGTATTAAGCTAGCAAAGCTAGCGCCGTCATTTCCGGTGTATGACTACCAAAATAAAACTGAATAATGGTGAAGATTTTTTTACATTTATTTATTTTTTGTTTTACAAAATTATATCATAACTAAAAAAAATGTACTGTATTAAACCGCTGGTTACTTTTGGATAATTGTTAAAAAAAAACATTTAAAAAGTTTTGATTTTTTGTAGGCTTTTAATCTGAAGGAGACGGTGTGCGTTGTTTAGCTGACTGCTGTAACTTGAAGTTTAAAAACTTTGGTAAATCCATAAAAATATTTTAGACTGGACTTGAAAGCTTTGATCATTTGACTTTAAAATGCACTTTTGATATGATGATTTAGATTCTTGACACGCTACATGTGTAATTTAACTCAGTGGTTCTCAGTGGTGGAAAAAGTATTCTAGTACTTAAGTAAAAGTATTGATACTCGTGGTCAAATCTTGCTCATCTGCAAGTAAAAGTTGCTCAGTCAAAAGTTAACTCAAGTTAAAGTAATGAAGTACTTACTTTTGAAAATACTTAAGTATTCAAAAGTGCATGCATTTAAAAATACTCAAGTATTTTAAAGTACAAATATATTTTCTAACATTGCTGCATTGTTTTGTGTGATTTTATAGAACCTTGTAACTCTCTGAAATCACCTGACAATGTATAGAACCACTCTAACACCACATGCCTTACTAAAACCTGTAAACTACAAATTATATCTTCCTGCATGTTTGTGGAAAGTCACAGAAATCCTAACAGATGATGCACATTTAGTGTTTTCCTCAGCTTCATTATTCATACACTGCGTTGTTTGTCTGTAAAAGTGAATTGACAGCAACAACTTAACACAGGAGAGGAAACAGTAACACTGATAACTGAAAGTACTTCCATACTTAACAGGAGCTTACAAAACAATGAATGTTCTGCACAGATGAATCTAGTATAATACCTGAATCAACAACTGGCCAACTGCATTTCAGGAAAGAAAAACAGCTACAGTGGATTATAAAGCTGAGCCGAAAGGAACAAGTAACAAGAAGCTTCCTAGGAATGTAGTGGAGTCGAAAGTACAATATTTTTCTTTGGAATGTAGTGGAGTGAACGTCATAAGTTCCCACAAACACAAATACACAAATAAAGATACTCCGAAAATGTACTTACGTACAGTACTCAAGTAAATGTACTTCGTTACGGTCCACCACTGGTGGTTCTTTGGGTCAAGTCCCCACTGCGGGTCATGAAACTTCAATTAGGGAGTCCAGAAATTACTTCTAAAAATTAAAAAGCAGAGTATTTTTGAATAACCACAGCTTTACATTCACTTATGACATTTATTATTTTGATTTTTTTGTAAGTGTTCAATCTAAAATATTAACTGATATTAACATGATCCGAACCCCAGGGTTATTAATAAAACTCATTAGCGGCCTACTTCAATACAGACCACAGCTGCACTCAAGATAACATCTCTGAAGCACCTTCTGTGACCCTGAGAAAAAAAATCATCCACCTTAAAGGCTTTTATTTTATGTCACTCACATTAAAAACTCTTGACACCAAAGCTGAAATCTGACACAAAATGCATGTTAAAGCAAATTAAAACGTTGAATAATTAAATGGCTATTTTGAGGCCAGAAGGTAATTTGAGTGGCATGCTGTTTGATCAAGTACCCATATTATAAAAACCACAAAGGGACATGAGAAGGCAACAAGTCAGCCTCGTGTTGTAATGTGCCACGGTGGAATGAGCTTGGTGTCTGTCAGTGACACATTATTAATGTAAACAGACGAAGGGGGTTTCTTTTGTTTCCTATGGAACATAAAGTGTATGTAATTACACTGACAGGAAAATAAAACTGGTGATTTGCACCAAATAAAAAAAAAATGAAGACCTTAATTAAAAGCATCAGAGTTAAAGAGAAAATCCAGACGCTTTGAAACAAGGTTCTTTGGAAAGGTTATGAGCAACTAATATTCTCTATTGTAAACCAAAATTAAAGTGGATTGCTGTGGTCCTAATGTCAGTCTTAAACATGTCATAGTAGTTTATGCAAAGGCTCTGCGATAGGTTTCACCCTGTGTGGTTATTCCGGTTGAAATATTATTACCGTATTTTTCGGACTATAAGGCGCACCGGATTATGAGGCGCATTAAGTGAAACAAAACAGTCAGATAAGTCAAACTTTATTCAGTTCATTCACAATAACCATATAAATTTGGTTTGAGGTCAGTAAGCACAACCAGAATTAATACATAGTGTGCACTGGATTATAAGGCTCACTGTCAATGTTTGAGAAAATTAAAGGATTTTAAGTGCGTCTTATAGTCTGAAAAATATGGTATAGACTTCCCAGTAGTATCTACACCAGAATCCTGACACCTTAAAACACAAAATGTTTGATTAACCTAATTTTGTTAAATCAGATGGTTCTGCTTACCTTGGCTGTTTAAATATGAAAACTATTGTTTGCAGCTTTGTCTTGTTAATTTGGTTGTGAACGACAATGGGTGAAAAATCTGTAAATCTCTTAAAACTATACGGAACAAAACAGCTCAAAGTCCGACCTTAGGACCTGAGTGCACAAGAGGAAACTATTTCAATCAAAGAGTAAAAACCTTAAAGTGGGTACGTAGATTTAACTTGTGAAATTTAGTTGCTTTCATGCTTCATATTGTTGCTTTAGTTCAACAAAACCTGATCACTTTGACTGTTTAAAACTCAACTCTACTGATTTGAGAGCTGGTACAGATTCGTGAAAGTGATCCGGTTCACTTGAGTCACCTAAGTTTTACAGTTCCACACAGCAATAAACAAGCAACTTACAGATGATAGAACAAAACGAATACAACAAAAATGCAAAATGTACAAATCAAACGTGCACGTATAAAACAAATACAAAAGACTGTGGTGTTATGTGTTACCAGTGAGATTTTAACCTGAGTCACCAACTGAACTCATATGAGTTTGCCACGTTTCAAATGATTCAGCTGTTTTCCATATTGACTCGTGAGTCCTGATTCAGTGTGAGGATTCAGATCTTTAACCCAGATGAGTCAGTAATTGACCAGCTCTAATTAAATTCAACAAAAAAACAATTGTATAATCCACACAATGCCCAATTTAAACATTTGAGTAAGTGCCAGCTGCTATTTGTGCTTGAAACTAACCATAGATTTTTATTTAAAGATTTGGGGTAGTTCTATTTAAATTACTGTGTGAAGCAAAAAGTTACTATTTTTTTAGATGGGAGTTGTTTTAAGATGGCAGCTATAATTCACCACAAACATTAGGACTTAAAATAGTAGAGAAGCCATGTTCAGACTCGCAGTTAGCTCATCAATCCAAACAGAAAATAAACTGCTTCTCCAAAGTGAGATCATTCAAAGAGCTTTCTACAGCAGGTAAGATATTTCTTGTTCATAATCTTTCCTCAGAACCTGATTTCAAAATATCTGAACTATTGCTTTGAATGAAAAAGTGCATTAACGTCAGTAGTTCAATGTTTATTCTCTATTATTGTTTCATTCTGATAAAAACAATTGAAGAAAAATCTTCAACCTGCAGGACATGCCTGGATATTTCTATCTGACTGGTGAATTTAAAAATGACGCACAATGCGAGTAAAGCCATTCCAGGCTTTCATAGAGCAACCAAAAGCTTTAAGGTGTGTGAACATGTTCAAGTTTGGCCTGATGGACTTCTTTCCTCCTTCTGCGTTTTCTTGTCGGTCCTGTGGCGTTGGAGGAGGGACACTGATGCTAAGAGATCCGGCCTGCATCATGAGCTCAGACTGATAAATACAGATCTGAGTGTTGCTCTGTTCACGTCAAACAGCAGCAAGTGATGACAGACAACGTAGGAAGCCTCACTATTGTCCTGATAATATAAATGCAGCGCTACCAATAGAAGGTGATGATCATATTTACACATGTTCTAGAATTGCGCCGCTCAATGTGGCTGCATGTTGGAGTAGCTCTGTTACTTTCATTATGAGATTTTGCTTGTGAAAACTTTAATTACTCTTTTTCTGGATGTAAATCATTTTTTCTGGATGATTACTTCCTTTGGTAACAGATGTTGTGCATCTGGAAGGATTTTTACTGAAACCTTTTTTACTTTGGGCATATTTTGTGATGCGTAACCATAACAACAAGGTGGTTTTCTACAACCGGGAGCTGCTGATTATTATCTCAAAAGCTCAAATAACACATCAGCTACAGCCCCAAATCCCAAATGAGTTGAAAAGGAGGTGCCGTGGATGCATTCCCGTCTACCTGAAGGCGGTGCTCGAGTGCCTGACCGCTGAGATCTTGGAGGTGGCGGGAAACGCAGCTCGTGACAGCAGGAGGACAAAGATCATCCCCTGGCATCTGCAGTTAAGTCCACAGCGACAAGGGGTTCGGCTGGCTGATGGGAAAAATGTCCATTGCTCGGGAAGGAGTTCCGCCTGGCATTCAGGCAGTCCTGCTGCCCAAGAGGACCGAGATCGAGAGGTCTGCTGGGTCTGGGTGGACAGATCGGCATCTGTAGTCAGTTTCTTCGGATACACTGTGGGACGAACCGCTACAAGAGATCCTTCCTGCCCAAAGCCATCAACATCTATAACAACTCTTTAATAAAAACCAGGATGATGAGCTACAACAGTTAATTTTCCTTTGGGATTAATAAAGTATTTTTGAATTTGAGTATTAAACATAAAACACATGCTGAATGTTGATGGGAAATATGCCATTATTGCTAAAAGTTGCACAAAGACCATTTATTTGCTGAACTGTAATTTTTTCATTTGAGCAATTGAACTCTCGTGACCTTGAAGTGAATAATAATTTTGTTCATAATTTAAGTCACAAAGTTGGGACAGCATACGTCACACCGACAACCCTTCCTGGTCTGTGCAGATCTTCTAGAACTTCCCCGGTGCACGATTGAGGTTGGAGCTGAATTTTTAAAGCGGAGACAGACACTGGCTCAACGATCTCTGAGCTCACGTTGCAGAATGATGAGATTTATTTTAATGCAGCCTGGAGGCCTGGAGGTCACGGCCAGTCTGTACTGTTTTCCTGCCACGTACCTACAGAATCTTTACACCCTGAGTGTGAAGGTTTATGTGCAGTGGGCGTGGCCTCCACATCCTGACAGCTCACCTGAGTGCAGCTGTCAATCAGCAAATCACCTCCCTTTGCTTCCTCCAGCTCACATCAAAGGACACTTGTAACACCGGTCTACCGACAAAATATTTTTGCTATGTACTATATACTTTTCTTTCTGTTAGATGCTTCATTTGTTTTGTCGTCGTTGAATTCTTCCCTCTCTGGTTCACCTTGTTCTACTTGTTTTTAGGAAACTGCCATTGTGCTTCCTGCTATACCCTGCTGTCGATCAAACTGAACAAAATCTAAACTTTTAGTAAAAATCTCCAGATGTCTCTAAGAAACACTCTTATTATGATAGTCTCAGCTCTGCATCTGTGGTATATTTTAATTAAACTCCTGTTTTCCTGCCATCACCAGTCAGTGTTATATGCTCTGCTGTCACTAGGTGGTGGTAAACCACTATGAATGATGCAACCTCTGCATGAAGGCACTGCAAAGGCAAGACATTAGAAACATTGAGTCATTTCCACAGATTAAAAGAAGATGAAACAGGCCTCTCTGCTTAAACCCAAGCATGATAAACTAAAGCAAGTATTGTGTATTTAGCTCTTCATGCAGGATGGAACAATACAAACAAAAGTAACATACACACTGGTATTTGTGGTTATTTTTTTTATTTTTTTATATAATCAAAAAAAAAAAACCACTCATCAATCCACCATCATATCATTAGATGATCTTCCCTTTTGCATTGTCAGTAGTTCAAAAGCTTTCCATTAGCCCTGCTCCCCTTTGGTCCCTTAAATCAAACATTATTTACAAAAATAACATAAATGAGGAATCATCTAAAACGTTAACCACCTCCATTCATTCTCAGAAATCTTGCAGACTAAACGCTGCTCAGTGATCATCAGCTTTTGTCTTGCAGTTTTGAAGGCAGTTTCACTGCCTCTCATGGTTCTTTAATCCCACAATGGTAAATTAAAACAGGAGTGTTTTACGTGCAGTTTCAAGTACGGATCACACACCGGTGAGAAAAACACAAGGCACAAAGGAGCTCCTTTTAAGGCTTTTTGTGACTGATTTACCTTTGTTGTTTTAGATTTGCCATTAAAACGCTAAAAACAAATCAGACATCCACAGGCACGCCACGATTTGGCACACTTGTTTTTTAGGGTGTCGGGCCTTCAAAGGCAGGGCGATAAAAAGGTGTTCTCAACTGTACACAGCAGGTAAAAAAAGATTACAACACTCCTGTCAGCTCGCTACGCTTGGGCAAAATGCACTTTGTTCAAAAGCTTAATGAATTCTTCAAGTCTTGTTCAGGCAGAATCTGCCATGAAAGCGGCACCACAGGCGAGGGGATGGAATGGAGAAGCAGTGTAGTATGACCACACAGCTATCTGCCAGTTTTCCTCCCACAAGATGGAGCATGTTAGGAAGTGACTGCCTCCAGGCGGGAAACAACAACAAAAAAAATGCTGCTGACCTCACATTCTGAGCACAGCTTCTCTTAGCAGCCAACATTTGCATTTTTTTCAACAACTGTACAAACAGGCTAACAGTAACTATTTGTGTAAAAATTGCACGTGGAGTTTTGCAGCGCAACGAAACGTCGCAGCTATTTATCAAAGGAACTGTCTTTAATCTCTTTCAGAAGCACCTCTTCGTGTGCAGGATGATTAAATCAGTTTTACTGCTGCCTTAAATCCATATAAAGGACACTTTAGGTGTGCATTATGCTCCCTTTTTTCTGTTCTGCAGAGGCACGAGGATGAAAGCAGCTGTTGTCCTAAACCTCAGCTATCCTGCTGCAATCTGCACTCAATCACACGGCTGTAAAGGCTCTTAAAGGAAAAAGACCTTTTGGTTTGTCATTCCCATTTCAGTCGTGTGCAAACCTTTGTATTGGGAAATTGGGAGCAGCAGAGAAGTTCTCTAGCGTAGTAATTGCACAATAGTCACTTAAACTTTTCCTGCTACGGTCTCCTCTCTCTACCACTCAAACTTCCACAACTGGGTTCTGTCGGTGGGGTTGCAGCGCCTCATCTGGACGTCGGGGCGACCCTCTGCTGTTCGATAGGCGGTCAGGCACATGTCGGAGTGAGGATGATGGATGGTCCCGTCCTGCAGAGATTACAGCGGAAACTGCAGATTAGACTTTGAGGAAAGTGTCACCTTTGCAGAAGAAGGTCTGTAGAAAGGGAGTAGTTTGTGTGGAAATGAACCTCCTCACCTCTCTGAACTCCCAGACGATGCTGGGGGGCTTGGGCTCGCTGTCGTGAGGACAATGTCTCATATTGATGAAGCTGTGTCCCTCGAGGACTTCGGCGCACAGCTCGGTCACTGAGTTGAAACGAATCTCCTTCTGAGAAGTGTATTCAAAGTACTGGGGTAAAAAGAAAAAAAAAAAGATGTGTCATTATTTTTATCTGCTAACATTTGAGATAAAATGCTCCTTCCCTTTAAATTATTGTGGTGATGGGACGGTTTTTCCTTTCCTCTGCTGAGGCACCTCGTCCTCATTAAGCCAGTGTTTGTGCGCCGGTGTTTGTGTCAAGCGATCCCGTCAGTAAAGAGACGGGCTCGGCCCTCTCAATCAAACAGACGTGGAGACAAACCCAACTCTTCCCCTCGGGTGTCATTTTCAACAAACTGACCTGGAGGGACAAAAGAAGTGACACTCCCTGGGCTCCCTGCTAAAGTGAGGCTCAGGCAATCAATCTTCATACTTCCCCGTCCTCTTCTTCACATCTCATACATCTTTCAGGTGCACTGAGGTCTGCGATGGTGGCTTCCAATAAAAGGCTCACTCCTGGCAACAGTTTCTGCCTTCTGACTTATTCACCCAGGCTGTGCCTCTCGCTCTACCTGTGAGGCTCATGTATCTTTTAAATGGAACAGAGGTTTTTTTTTTTTTATGTGGGCCAGGGAGGAGGGAGCAGGAGGGAGGTGATGAAGGAGTTTTCTGGTTTTTGTTTCACAGGGGAGCTTTTCAAACATTGATTTTCGCTAACGCGTGCTGTTTTATTTTGTGAATGACGACACCTGATGCGGTGCATGGACGGAGTAATTAGAAACATCAAACAGGTGGAAGTTGGACGGACGGAGACGAGTTCGCCCATTCATCTGACTCTAGCATTAAATACACATCCACGCAGACAAATTACTTGTCGGTTACTAAACCAGCTATGGATGGAGTTGGCGGGAAATCCAAGTAAAAGCTCCTGCCTTTGAATGGGACAATTTCACAGAAGGCATAGGTAAATGCAATAAGTCCTGGATACGCCAAGAAGCATTGACCTCCTGCTTACCAAAGAGTATGAGAGAGATAGAGCAAGGTGAAAGAAACCAAGAGAAATGCTTACCTGGTTGCCTCCCTGGCCGTGGCAGCCGAACAGAGAAAGTTGGGCGCCTGTGGGATTGTGGTCTGGAGCGTTGTAATCAAGGCACTCTGATTGGATCCCTGAGCTATGGATCTGAAAGGAGCACAATTCTCAGCAACAATAAGGAAGTGATAGTGCACATCAACTCCTGTTAAGTCTCTCCGCTTGGTTTTATTCTCTGCAGACAGGTCACACAGCAAGGCCACACACAAAACAATTACAACATCTACAAATCTATACTACTCTGATTAATGCCAAAAAATAATCTAAATCCTTTCCTAACAGGATAAATAATCAAATCAGACAAGAGTGTTTAATTAGCAGATACTCACAGCTCCATGCCAGCCTTCCCTGTCCTCAGGTACGTGCAGATCGGGGTAGATATTTTTAAGATACCAGTCAAAACTTTTGCATTTCAGCCTCTCCCTCAGCAGCAGTCGCTCGGAGATGTCCCCGTAGGTTTCCTGTAAAGAACAAGGATCAGTGGCGACATGAAAGCAACCGGCAAGTGAAGTGAAAAACTCTGATTCTGTTTCATCGCAGTGACACCTGTCAAGGTTTGGGAGACAATAGTGAGTATGTTCTTATAGCTCTGATAGTTGACATGTTGGTAGGAAGAATAATGGCCACGCCAACAGATCTGGACATCTTTAATGAAGCCAGAATTATAATAGTTGGGGGGGGAGGGCATTGTCTGCAAAATGTCAGGTTCTGTGGTGGGTCCAGGTTAGGCAGAACTGTCAGCGTATCTGTCTGTTTTCAGTTCAGTGTGAAGGAGACAGGTTAACATGTTGTTAGCATGTTCATGGTTTGCAGTGATCAGTAACATCCTGGAGCAGTGGCAGTTTCTAATAATGGGCGATAGAAGCAGCTGCCCAGGGTGGCATCTTGTCAAGGGTGGCCTGGCCCCACCCTCAAAAAAATAAAACGCATTAGTTCATATTATTTCCTATTGCCCACTTGCGTGGAGTGAGTGCCCTCCGCCAGGTGCAGGGGGTGTAGCTTCTGCTGAGGTCTGACACGGTTTGTGAGAGAAGGGGTGGGGAGGGGATTCTCTCACTGGCCTCAGTAACGCCCTGAGTTTCACTACTACCTCCACCACTACAGCTGTTTTGTTTATTTGTCAGAGGTTAGGTCACCCTGGGTTACATTTCCACAGTTTAGGAAAAAGAGAAAATAAGAAGAGGAAAAACGAGCAAAAGATATAGGCATGCAGCTGCGTCATCTCTTGGAGCTTGAAAGGTGTTATGTTAAGTTATGTAGGCTATAGCCTGTTGCAAGATAGGTTTGCTATTAATTAATAACATAAGACACTAACTGTTGTTTACATTTAGCTGCTTAGGATGACATATTTGGTTTTCAGCAGAAAATATGACCGTTTTAAAGACTGAAATTCTTCAAAAACTAAACGACTACATGGGAAAGTAATATTAGGCTACTATAATTACTAAAAGCAATGATCTTGTGAAGTAGCTTGAACTGTGTTAAATAGCCATTAACTGGAAGAGGTGTTGATTTGTCTCCTATTCTGAATATTTCATAAATTGTACATATACGTAGGCCTGTTTGTTTTTGTCTAAAGGCTCCCACATACTCAGGCGTACTGTGCGTACTCCGTGAGCCGCGCGGACACTGCGCGCACTGTCCACAGACGGTTGAGACTTCATACTCGAGCGTACACCCCGACGGGCTGCAGCCCAGCTCCGCAGGAAATGGGCGTTTACTTTCGGGACAAATTGAGGTCACCGATTGGTCACTTGCTGGCATGCCTACTGGATTGATTGACAGGTCGCACATAAACAAAAACAAACAAACAAAAATAAAAAAAAAACGAGAGCTACCGGTGGTCCTGGGTAGAGGCAGCTGGCAGCTTCAGCAGCAACAGTGTTCTGTGTTTATGTTGTTAATAAAAAGTTCTCAAAAATAAACAATAAAAACAGGGAGCGCTGGCCCTGCAGCCCACACATTAGACCGGCCCACCGGGAAATGTCCAGACCCTCATGCAGCCACACCGGGCCTGATTTTAATTCCCTTGTGACAAATTCCTTCATTTCTCACAGTTTCAGTCATGACATCAACAGAGGAGGAGGAAGAGATCGCTTGCCTTTTGGCAAAAACAAAAGAAAAGGCCATTAAATCAGACCAGGGATGAAGAAGGGGAATTTAATACACAAGTGTCGCATACAAAACAGTCCGTCGCCGAGCAGTTTATTGTGCGACACGGAGTACGCATACGTGGTCATAAAAATTTACGGACATGGCTTGCAGACGTCCACTTCGAGTTTGCGTTGAGTCTAATCAGGTCTGCATGGACCTCTGCCGAGTGAAGTACACCCGAGTATGTGGGAGCCTTTAGTTGTTTGCTATGTCAGTATGACAGTCCTTAAATCACTTCACATTACTTGGGAACATTATGTTAGCCTGCTGTTAGGGATGCACAATATTGGATTTTTGACCAATATCCGATATGCCGATATGTTAAAACTTATTTGGCCGATAACCGATGCCAATACCGATATTTTTTCCCCTAGACCTACTTACAGAGACTACATAGCTTTCTCTGCTGTAGAATTAAAATACTACATTATTCTGCACAGTCTTTGTCAGTTTGGCCTGCTACCAAATGCGGATGTCAAAAAGGGGCTGAAAATGATGCAACACTTCAACTTTGATTATGTTTAATGTCAAATTTATTCATGACATTTACTCTATAACACAATGACAAATACTTGAACAGTGCAAATTTGTCAGTTTTCACAAATCTAAACTCAACCTGTTCACAAGCGGCAAGTGAAAAGCACTAATAGAAATACTTAGTTTCTTAAATTAAAAATTAACTTAAAGCAGAAGCCTTATAATGTATATCGGTGAGTTTTGATGGAATGGCCGATGTCCGATATTTAACTTTAATTGCAAATATCGGCCGATACCGATACTATGTCGATAATATCGTGCATCCCTACCTGCTGTAATTACTTAGTATTGCATTAAGATACTTCTCAACAACAATTTTTATAGTTATTAAATAACCATTGTGAGGCATAGAATTATAAATGTTTGATAATGATACAACTGATTTAAGTTTAAGTATGGTATTTCATTAAAATTCAGGGGCACTTCTAAAACGTTTTGTGGCACCTTCTGCCACAGGCCAGGATGAGGAGCCCTCCACTTCCTCAGCCACAAATGTGTCTCCACAAGTTGTCTGATCCTGAGGATGAAGGACTCTATCTTTACCCTGCAGGAATCTGGGGTGCAAAACATTTTGCAATGTTATTTTGTGACTTGTTCAAAGTGCAGTAGTAGTAAACAGATTTTCTTCAGAGTTCAGTTGTGCACTTTAACCTTGGGATCGCTCCGGGCACCTAACGGGCTGGGGCTGCCCCTGTCCTAGAGCTGCTGAGTGCTTTCTGGAAAATGGCAAAGTGTATGAATTCCCAAAATCTCAACTTGACTGTTATTAGGATGGACTTGGATGTGCTGATGGGAAAACACACCTTCTACTGCCCTGAAGGAAGAGCTTTAAACATGACTTTGACAATAATAAACGGACATTGTGAAGGCAAACGGAGACATCCTGGAGATGACAGCTGAGTTATGCTCTTAAAACAAGCAACCCTAACACTTACACACCCTAACTGTTCACATGACCTGAGGAGGAAATAGATGTAAACTCATGGGGTTGTGGACACACAAAGCTACTTCTGTGATCTGTCTAATGTCTTAAAGCTGGAATCAATAAAATAAGAACGTTAAAAATGTAGTTTCCCATGTAACACAATATAATAACAAAGATTTTAATCTTGTTTTCATCTTTATGAAAAATAATTTACAAAAATTCAGGAAGTTGACTTTAGAAATTCAAAAAAGATACAACTATTTATCAAAACAAACAGTAAGTTAGAAAAATACTGTAAGACTTCCTGTCTGAATATTAACTAAACAAGATAACCTGATTATTTTTACAATCAGGATATTTTGTGCTTTCTTTAATTGATAAAAATGTATCTAACTTCATTATCGGGGGAATTGAATATATTTTATTTTGTAACAAGTACTTAGATAATTTCAGTTTTATAAAAAGGTTCAAATACATATTTTAAATAACGGATTAATAACAGTTTGTAAATGCAGACACAAATTTAAATTTTGTTTTATGAGTTATAAAAAAAATCCAGGTAAATTTAATCTATGGTTGTTTCATGATTTTGAGTGTACTCGTGACAACCAGGTTAACAGGAAGATGAAAAAAGTGCGTGGGGAACGGTGATCCACTGGTCGTGCACAGAGACTGCATGGTGCAGGGAAAACTTTGCAAAGTACACGCTGTCACGTTTATCCAGCTTGGACCTCCGTTTTGTGCCCAGAGGACCGCGGGGGAGTTCCTGGTCAATCTGCACAGCAGAGGATTGAGTCTGAGCTGTTTGTTTTTTTCTGAGAGGGCCGAATCGCAGGAGCCAAGCTGAGCTGGGCTGCTGCTGTCTGGTGGATTGTTAAGGGTCGAACAGGAGGAGATAGAGATCCAGTCATTCACCTGCACCATGGGACGAAAGTGAAGGGGGGGTTACATCTTAAATGTTTGTGAGGATGAGAGAATATCCCAGACTGGTAGGATTAAAGTTTCCATTAAGAATATGAGCTCCATCATGTGCCATCCAACTCAATAACAAGCTTGCAGATAAAGAAAACTGAGTGCACTCTGGTAACTCTAAAACCAGGGGTTAAATTCATTATTTTATTTCAACTGGGTAACTTTGTGTTCTAATTTTAATTTGATTTAAAACAATTCTTCTTCTTTCAGCTGCTCCCTTCTTCGGGGGTCGCTGCAGCAAAATAACTTGCATGAAGACTTGGCGATTGGTTTGTTTTTTATGCCAGATGCCCTTCCTGATGCAACCACCGATCACTGAGCTACCACAGCCCTCTGTGTGGAGCTCAAGGGTCCCCAGTGGGGCAAATGAGGGTGGAGGCAGTTGTGGGTGCTTCACTTTTCCCACCCGCATTCGATGTTGTCAGTCCAGGGAGTTGAACCGACAACCTTCCGATCACAGGTCACCCTCTCTAACCGCTGCACCACTTACTGTATTTGTTGTGTGAATCTGCCATTTCTTTATTCAGTTGTACACTAAAAAATAATGTACACGTCACATTTTGTTTTATTTGAAAAACCTCGAGAATTATCATTCTAGACAGTTAATAAACACTGGAACGTCTCTTTCACTATACAGTAGTCCCTCGTTTATCGCGGGGGATCCGTACCCTGAAGCTGCATGTTAAGTGAAAAACAACAAAGTAGGAATATTTGTACAAGTAGTAGTTTATTTAAAAAAAAAAAAAAAAATGAAAAAATATATATACAGTATATTAAGGCGTTTTAAACCCTTCCTACACTCTTGCAATTCTAAACAACGTTTATAAACTCTAAACGCTCTAAAAGAACAGACAGTCATGATTTCAGCTCCCTGCCTCCTCTGCTCTTTGCCACCTGCAAGTGTTCTTGGCCACGCCCACTTCTCCGCTCTGCACGGAGAACAGCTGATCAGCTGCAGCAGGAAGCTTATCCTGCAGTATTGGTTGCACAATGGTGCAGGAGGTGTTAAATAATTTTAAATAATTTATTTTAAATAAAAATTCCATGTCGATCATGTGGCCAATTGTGTGTCATGTCCAATTTTAATTAGAAAAACTGCGATAGAGCGAGTCCGCGATAAATGAGCCATGAAGTAGTGAGGGACTACTGTACTATAATTGGAATTTAAACGGGACCTATATTAAATAGTTATTCTCATGGTATAACAAGCCAGGTGATGAAAGGGTTACACTAATAAATGTTATAAATACTGTTACAGTCAGAAAAGGGGGGACTGTCCTCTCCGGGTTGAAAGTGGGTCAAAAGTCTCAGGTGGAAGAGTTTAGTAGTTTTGTGGTCCAAATGAGTTTCCTCCACAGGGTAGCTGGACTCTCCCTTAGACAGAGGGTGAGAAGTTGAGCAATCCAGGAGAGACTCGGAGTAGAACTGCTGCTTCTCCACATTGAGAGGAGCCAGTTAGGTAGTTCGGCCATCTGGTAAGGATATCCAACTGGGAAGACTCCAGGAAAGACCCAAGACACGCTGGAGAGACTGTCTCTCAGCTAACCTCCCAAAACAGCTGGAAGAGTTGACTGTGGAAAGACATTTCTGGACTCTCCTAGCAACAGGACCCCAGAACAAGTGAAAGATAATGGATGGATGGATATTTTACTACACCCCTTTAAACCAATTTAATACACTTAAAAAGCCTTCTCAATATTTAAAAATATATTGTCATTGCAATATCATTATTATAAATCAAAGGCTGTTACATTATTTTGTAGGAGCCAATACCAGCTGAGCGTAACTGAGATGCTAAACCATGTTTTTCTGTATGGTGCAGCGGCAGCCTTTAGCTCTGTGCTGTGCTCAATCTCCCCCTGACCAGATAATTTATTGTTTGATCAAAGATCCCAGACATGAATAATGCACTTTTGTTTTTCAGATAGGTGTAACTGAGATACATGAATTTTTTATAGTACCCAATACGGCGGCACAGCGCGCACACACAAACACATACATTAACATGTCAGACCCAACAAGGCAGACAGTGTGAGATCATATGTCGACATCTAGACAAGCCAGTGACATCATATGAAAAGTCAAAGTCAAATATCAAGTCTGAGCCGCGCTGTGTGTCAAATTAACATGTTGAAAAGTGTAACAGCGGATCACTACAGGGCTTCAAGAACCACCAGAACGTAACAGGTTAATGTGTTTGTGAGTGTCGACCTTTCTGGCTGGAGGGTTCCTGTTGTAGAAGTGCTGTTTATAAGAGTCCATCCAAACTTCTGCAGCTCGTACGGTGTTCTGCAGGAAGTTGGGTCGTGCATATGGGGCCTTTTTAGGGAAAACATGACCCACATGAGAGCAGGGGTGAATCTCCAAACTACCTCCACACTGCCATACCTGTTGGAAAACGACACATAAACAAATCTTTAATGTTTGGAGTTGAAATTGACAGAGTTTATGACACAACATTTTAAGGTATCATTCTGGACAACAAACTTAGTTGGAAGCCTCATACTGAATATATTAGAAATAAAATTGCAAAAACTATTGGAATATTGTTTAAAATAACAGATTTAATAAATATTAAAGCTTGCATATTATATACTCTTCCTTGGTTATGGCTTACTTGTCATATTGCTCAGAAATATGGGGAAATGCAAATAAAACAACTATTGACATATTAATAAAGTAACAAAAAAGTAATTAGGCTTATTAATAAAGCAGGATATTGTGAACCAACTAATAAACTTTTTATTCAAAGTAATACTTTAAAATTTAATGACACTGTTTATATAAAAATACTGGATATCATGTATAAAGCACTGAATAAAAGTCTTCCTTTTGGAATTCAGAAATTATTTAAGTTAAGAGAGAGTAAATCTCTTAATTTCATTGTACTGTGTATAATGACAATAAAGGCATTCTGATTCTGATTCTGATTAAAAATAATTTACGAAGATTGCTCATATTTGAACAAGCTAAAGAGAAAAGTAAAGTAAAATCTAGATGCAGTTCAGTTATTGGTGTGAAACTGTGGAACGAATTGAATGATGATCTCAAATTATGTGCTTTTTATTGGTGAGCTTTAAAAGAGCCTTAAAATGTAAAATTATAAAAGCTGTTATGTAGATGTATATATGCATTGTGTAATGTATGTAATGTGAGTATGTGTATGCATTATATACATGCATATTTAAATATACGGTAAATGTCTGTTTGTGTACTGATGTATATGGACAGTATATCTGTCATTATGTAGACTGCTGAGTATATGAATAGGGTAGGCAAGTACAAGCCTTGGCTTCAGCCAATTCCTTTTTTGGTAAATGATTGATTTACCATTTTTATATTGTTTTCCTTTTTTTGCAATGTTTTTAATTTACCAAAATAAAGTTGAGAAAATGGAGTTGAAATTGATGGTTCTGGGAAATGAACCGTCTGCTGCTTTGTTGTGTTGTCGTCGTTCAGTGCAGGCTGTTATTGACACGCAACGCAAACTCTGTGATGAATGTTCAGCAGGAACTCACTTTTATTATTACACACAAGTATTTTTTTTTTCATTTGCACTCAGGTATGACACAACAACAAGTAAGCCATACTGGTTGAGTTTTCAAATCAAATTCGACAAACTTCTTGGGATTTCCAGCGCTTGCAAGCTCGCGCACGCCTCAGACTGAAAGCTGATGTTTGCATAAAGGGATCGTTCAGATCATTTGAGATGGAGATCTTCTGAAAAGTTATGAGCAATAAATATTGTACCTGTTGTAGAAAGGTTTTGATTGACCTCAGTTTGGAGAAAGAGACTTTCGTTCTGACTGGACTGACGAGCTATAGCAAGTCCAAGTGGGGTCAAGACCAAAGTGGTTTTATATAGTCTTAAAATATTTATACATATAAAATATAACAGTTATATTATCATTGGAAGTGCTCCAGACTTACATCCATCCGTCCATTATCTTTACCTACTTCTTCCTTTCCTGGTCACAGGGTCATGTTCAGCCGTCAATTAATCATTAAACATGAATTTTGTATAAATAACCATTTAATGCTAAAGAGATGGTAATATGTAGAAGAAGATAGTGTGGCTTAATAAAGGCTGCAAATCTCATATATTGGATTGGAAGGTAATTTGTTTGTCAAATCAAAGGCTTAGAAATCAAAGCAAGTGCATATATAAACCTAGCTATGCTTTTAAAATAATTACTGGTTGCAGACAGCAGCTTTAATATTTGTTAATTTATTTAGGTTGTTCTCCAGCACTCAGACGTACACGCTCTTTTGTCAGAAGTGGTAGGAAAGCATTTGGATGCCAAATCACAGTGAAAGGCAAATTTACAGCTCTTTAAAAACATCCCAATAGTGTTTAAGGTGGAAAAAACAAAATGTCAACATCATCTCAGCTGTCAAATGTCCAATTTCCGTTATGCCTTGATTATATGAGGGTGTCAGTGCAACAGGAATGCTGGCGTTTATTTCCCTGCTGACAGAAGAGACAGGATGAAAGCAGCTGTGTACAGAGTCTGTCTCTGTACTCAGATTCAGGTAAACGCATCACTGGATGACATTTGAGTTCACATCCGGCTAAAGCTACCAAAGAGCTATTCAGGACGGGAGGTTCTTGAGTGGCTCGAGTCAGTCACAGGATTCGAATCAGCTACGGTTCACTCCATTTAGACCAGACTAAAGGCAGGCAAACACCACGTTATACACAAGCTGAGGGTAGCTACAGTCAAAGTTTGTCAAAAGCTTTCCTTTATACAGCTGCTAGCTATAAATTATTTACAATTAAACCTCAAATATAACGATTCCACCTTCTTTTGAGCTCCTAATATTTGAGTTAGTTTAGATTTATATGAATACTGACAGAAAGTTGCGCAAACTCAAGTTTAGGCTTGGCTTTTAACTGCACTCTGACAAATTTGCTGGAAGATTTCCAAGTGACAGCTGTGGGATATTTCATTATACTGAATTTAAATAAAAATGCAAACCTTATAACTGATTAAATTACATTTTATTTGGCACAAAAGCTGTAACAGAAGTCTGCAGAACAAAGCAGAATGATCAAACTCATCAGTCATCCTGTAAAACACCTGTGTTTGCACAACAGCAAACCCTGATTTATGGTTTTAATTTCTATAACATAACTTTGATTTTTGAGAATCCAAGAGAAACACCAGTAAAGAATGAAAGGTTGTTCAAACGACACAGCTGTCATCAATCTGTTGCTAATAGTTCTTGAAAATGAACCAGTTCTTTCCAGCTATATCCACAAGGAATTTTACTCAATTCAGAAAATATAAATAATGCATGGGCAAAAAGACCCGAGAAATGAGAGTGGCTTTTTTTTTTTCACATCTATATCACATTCCTCAGCCTGTTCTTCTTCACGCTGTGAATAAATCCATTTACGGTTTCACAAATCGTTGCCAAGCGGACTGACGCAAAGAAGAAGAAAGTGACGCAAACATGGTAGGGTCATCTTAGTATCCGTTTCAGGTGCGGTGACTGGCCATGTGATCCGACACTCACGCGTGTCAATCTAACACCAGCGCTGACCGTTAGTGAATGAACAGATGGATCAAGGCCCAGGCGCTGGGATCTCAATAAACTAAAGTTCACTTAAATTAGATGGATCACCTTTTCTTACTGTTTTTAAAAGCTGATCCTTGGTTTCATGTTACTAAGCCACACTGTGGTAATTGGGCAGACTCAGTGGTCCGGAAAGCTGAACTCACCCTGAAAGAGAGTTCGAGGTTTTCTCCTCCCCACACCTCCATCCCCATGTCGTATGTGCCAAGGTACTCAAAGTAAGCTTTGCTCACAGCAAATAAACCACCTGCCATGGTAGGAGACCTGTGGGGACACACAAATTTCACTTTAACTTATGATCAAATTAAGAAGAACGTAAAAAAAAAATGTTGATCAGTCACAGATTTTTGCTTTTGAAAGCACATTTGTAGACAGTTATTAGACGATAAAGCATATTTCAGTAATTAGCAGCTGAAAAGGAGCCCACTCTTTACCTGATGGGGTCAATACGAGACTTTCGCCTCTTGCGTTCCACTTCAGGAACCGAGTGCCACTGAAAGGTGAGCCTCCAGTCAAATCCTCCGATCATCGGCTCGTCTGTTTGCATGTAAAACTCGAAACTGTTCCAGTCGATGGTGTCGATCACAGGGCACACTATGGTGCTGGCGTTCTCAGCAATCCTAAACAAAACACCATTAATGCACAGAAAGAAAGAGGAAGGGGAACGAGACAAACTGTTTAAGACTTTAGACTCAGAATGCACAAAAAGCTCCTAAAGGTCTGACTTGGATCACCTTTCCAGCAGAGGCTCGATCCAGCCGGGAACACACTCACAGTGGCAGTCAAGAAACGTCAGAACATCCCCCGTGGCGTAGGTGGCGCCAATGAGACGTGCTCGTACCAGCCCTTCTCTTTTGTTGGTGCGAATGAGCCGCACACGTTGCAGATTACTGATGTACTCTGCCAGCTGCGACTTCAGGTAACCTAGTGTATAAAACACACAGAGATATCTTTAACATGAATTTATTCTTAGCAACTTCTAATCTTCATGCAACCATTTACATGCAGTTAATAAACTGCCTTTTAAACACTGCAATGCAACTTTATGCTGGTTTGGATGTTTTGCATCAAGAAGGTAAAACAAGACGCACAACTACTTCTGTATGTGACTTATACTGCGCAAAAGTTACCATCTTTTGTTTGAAGTTTGTGTTTGTGTATTCTCTAAAAGTGATCCTGAGGACCAGTTCTCCAGCATTTTTGAATGTCTTTCAAAGCACTTTGCACTTTGGTTGCTTTCTACACATTTTAAAGACACGCTCTATATCTGGCCCTTTTCAAACTTCTAGTTTTGCTTGTTTTTGTTTTGTTAAACTGCTGGAGTCTGAGCTGTGACTTTTACAAGCAGCAAAGAATCACATAACTCAAGGGATGAGCCTGTGTTGTATCATAGCAGACAGCTTAACATTTAACCAACTTTTAATTGTATCTTTAGGCACTTTGGTTTTAGCTGCCTGCCTTAAAAACAAATAAGTTGTTAAAGTTTATTACCGTAGTTTTCGGACTACAAATCTCTACTTTGTTCACACGCTTTGAACACTGCGGCTTATACAATGCTGCAGCTAATTTATAGATTTTTGTTTTTGACGGGCTAACGAGCTTAATGCCACCAAAACATTTAACCTCGTCACACCCAGGCGCTCACATAGCTGCCCACTACAAGTCTCTCTTGGGGGGTGGGTTCTCGTGACTCAATAAGACTACCTGTAAAGGTTATCAATTAAAACAAGTTTGTTCTATAATTTTCCAAATAATTTTGCTCTAAAAATATTTTTGCTCATCTGTATAATAGCATATCTTTAGAGTTGATTTTTTTAGGCTGTTTTGTTAATATCCATTTGGTGACTTGTTAAAAAACAAGAAATCGTATAGCTTCCTTTCTTTGAAATACATTTTTAAAACTATAAGGTCAAACTGATTTGCTGACAAAAGCAGTAAAAGCTTAATTTAATAAAAGTCAGGCGGGCTTTCGGGTTCAGGCTTGTAATTACTGTTAATTGTCGGGTCGGGGTAAGGATGCCCCCTGGGCGCCTCCCTAGGGAGGTGCTTCGGGCATGTCCAACTGGGAGGAGACCGCGGGGAAGACCCAGGACAGGCTGGAGAGACGATGTCTCTCGGTTGGCCTGAGAATGCCTTGGAGTCCTCCCAGAAGAGCTGGAAGAGGTGGCTGTGGAAAGAGATGTCTGGGCCTCCCTGCTCAAGCTGCTGCCCCCGCGACCCAACTTCGGAATAAGCGGAAGATAATGGGATGGATGGATGTCGGGCCGGGTTTGGAAAAAGTGGCTATGGGCTGGGGCCGGGTCGAATGCAACTCTTGTGCGCAGGAGGAAGTAAAGATAGCGATCAATGACTTCCTGGTAGGCTACTGTTTTTTTTTCTTTTCTTTTAACCAGCCATGTTACAGGCACTGTTCAGAAAAAAACTACGTATGTGTGTGTTACCGGTACGTATTTAATTAAAAGTTTTAAAAAATCTTTCAGTGTAAATATCTCATGTTACAATGTGGACACCCACAGCTTATACAGAAGTGCAGCCTATATGTGTACTTTGTTTTTTCTTTTTAAATTTAGTGGGCACGGCTTATATTCAGGTGCGCTCAATAGACCAGAAATTACGGTAAATTGCATTTAGAAACTGACCAAAAAAAGAGCCATTACCAAATACTTGTATGTTCAGTTGGCTGGTGATGAATCTCAGGTTCTGTCCCGTCTGTATGGGACCTTTTTAAAATCCTTCAAATATCCCTATCAGACAATGTTAATCTGCTACAAAAAATGTTTTTAGTGCAACACCTCTTTTTTTGTTGTTTCACTGGAGCAGTTTTCATTTGATTGTGTGCACCATATGACAATTAAATGTTCTTAAGAAATCAAAATACATATTTATGCACGTCTAAATGTTTTACTTTAGTATTCCACATAGATGAAACTAAAGAAATGGAAAAATAAGTCTTTGAATCAGGCTGGCTATAGCAAGGTGCATGAATTTAAAATTGGTTTCCTGTCAATGTGGATTGCATCATTTGAGAAAATTGATTAATAGCCAAGCTCTGATACAGATTTTAATTATATGTTAACTGAAATCTGTGTTGGTGAATGAGTGATTTACCATATTATTTTATTCGCCATATATGTTGAGTAAAACACAACTGAGATGAAAAAAGTAGCTCGATCCTGTTCAGCTGGGTTAGAAGTAAAGATTTTTAAAAGTCATTAGAAGTTTGAAGAAACTTTTCCAGTTCAGGAGTGACGTGTTTAGCATTCCACTTGCTAAAAGTGTTTAGAAGAGCGGAACGTGTGTCATAGCAGCTCAGTTGACTGATGTTATCATTATGGTGTAACGTCTGACAGACTAGACTATTTGTTGTAAATCTAATTGTACAGCAACTGACAGGCACCGAGCTACTCCTGTATCTAGTTTCTGATATGAAGTGGCGTCAGTCTCAGAGTTAGCAGGCCATCGTAATAAGCAGATAGTCCATTCACTGATGAAAACTGTGTGATACAAGTGAAATCTCTAAAAGCTGCTCCTCTGGTCAAGGACTTTCAAAATATCTCACACTTCTTTGTCATTAAATACACTGCCAGCAAAACAAAACTTTACTTCTGCACACAAAACCTAGAAATGAGACAAGCAGAAACTGGAGCAGAGACCTATAGGTTAAAGCTGCTCAGTTCTAATACTGACTGCAGCTGACATCAAAACATCAGCTTTTCCATAACCAGTCAATTCAAGCTACGCCTTGCTCTCATAATGTTTTTAAATTAGTTTTTTCTATAAGCTGTCTTTGTAATTGCTTTTTTGAATATTTATATATATATATATATATATATATATATATATATATATATATACAGACATTTATTCTGGAGTCCCCTTTTCATTTACTCCTTTGTACTCCACCAGTACAACAAAATTAGAGCTTCAAACAACTTTTATCTGCCAGTTCCGCTTTTAAAAACAAAAATATAACCCATGGTTTTTCGGCAGTGTCAGACCTCGGTCACTGTAGTCATCAATTAGGATGATTTCTTTCAGCAGGATGGCAGGCGTGGTCTCCAGCACACTGTGAATAGTTCTCAGCAGGGTGGACCAGGCCTCGTTGTAGAAGGCTATGATCACAGAAGTGGTAGGTAAACGCTGGTAGTCAAACTTCTTATTCCGGCATCTGAGGCATGGATATGTGTGTAGGTGGGCGGAGAGAGAGACAGAGTTGACATAAGCTTAAGTGTTTATGCTCAATACATATTTATAATTTAAAAAAGCAGCAGTAAGAGAGATCTAAATGTTTCTGAAAGGCTTCAGCTGTCAGTGTGGCAGGAGGAGATGTCTAATCTTAATCCAGATTGCAGTCAATGAAACAATAAAAAGAGTTGCAGAAAATATGTATGTGGTCGGAGGCTGTCACACCAGAGAGCAACATACTGCAGCAGTATTTAGAGAGAGACCGCAGAAATGAAAGCAAGCAGAGAAGAAGCAAGCCAAAAGAAAAGACAGAGGGCATGGGGTTGGAACTGAATGAAGATGTAAAGATGAAAATGTTGAAAAGGAAACATCAGTGCATGAAAAAGGGAGACATTGAGCCCTGGTTTTATAATATAATATGATGTAAGAGTTTCAGCACTGGCAAAGAATAAAAACATACAAAGCTGGATACACTATTTGCAAATGGACAGATGGTTACATTTCTGGTCATCTACAATAAAACGGGAAAAGTAACCGTTTGGGGGCTCGTCCGGGATTTGAACCAGGACTTCTCCAAGTGTGGTGTTGTAGTTCAAGATGTTCAAGCTGAAGATAGCTTGGTGCTGTTTATTCTACTTTAGTAAGTGACTGTTTTGATTTTCCATTTTGGGTATGCTTTTGAACCTGGTTTCATTTTTGAGTTTACCCTTTTGTTTGCTTTCTAGGAATTTGACTTAGTTTTCAGTTCAAATTTACAATAAAAAACTAATAAACTTATTTTAATATATTTATCTATTTATTCTCTTGTTTTATTTATTGCTATAATGAAAATTCACAAAAAAGTTACATCATGCCATCTGGACAGACTCTTGGAAGAAACTAGGGATGCACCGATCCACTGTTTCCACATACGATATCTGAGGTTTGGTGTCGGTCGATACCAATCCGATACCGATCCAATACAGATAAACTGTTCTGAATTCCGTTCAACAAACTCAGCGTGCTCTTTAGGATGAAATCTCTGGAGATGCTTGATTAAGTTGGTAGTGTTATAACTGGAAGTTTTAGTGACACCCCCTGGAACCGTCGCTGTGCACGTATTGCACGTAGCTGTCAAATGTGTTGGCTGAGGTAGTGTGAAATAGTTCCAGATGGCTGATCCTGTCGCTCGCTCCATTTTGAAAACAATCTGTGCGGTGAGTTTGCTAGCGCGTGACATCACTCAGAGCACAAAGCATATAATTAGAGTGAATAGATCTGCCCAGTCATGGATCGGTCACATTGTCACGATACCCAATCCAGAAGTTTTTTCCAATATCGGTACCGATACCTATATTGATATCGGATCGGTGCATCTCTAGAAGAAATCTTTAATCTTTAATCTGAAAGACTTCGTTAGTCTGAGGCCTGCAACCAAAATCTGTCATATAAATAGCACCTCACTGACGTGTTTCGAGCCAGCCTGCTGTGGAATTCCCAGAAACTGGCTATACGATAGATTTGGTGGCAGGCAGGCCTCAAACTGAAGAAGTCTTTCGGATGAAAGACGAAATTTCTCCAAGAAGAATTTGTCCAGATGACATGATTTAACATTTTTGGTGATTTATTTACCAGAAAGATTAAGCTTACAAAACTTTTTTTAATTTATAATGAAAAATGAAGTGCAGACACATTCAAAGAAGTAGATATTGTACACAGACAAAAAATAGATGCTAATTAACAACCAGATTAGGGATGGGAATCAGATAAGTTCATTCAGATTCAACCCAGAAAAACATATTGTCTTCAGCAATGCTCAGATCATTATGTTGGTTCCTAAACATAAAAATTCAACCATTCAAGATAATTACGGTATATTTCACCTTTTCCAGTGTATTGCTTTAATTCAATACAGTGGCGTTAGCTATACATATGCTTTAAAAAGACTTGTCATAACATATAAATGCAGCAAGCATACAAAAAAGAACTCGTAAGAGTCCACACAGAGCATGAACAAACCCAGATTTTTCTTTGTTCCACTGAGTTTGTTTCTCCTGCACCTACTACAGGCATTTGATAAGAACTTCTGTCTTTGAAAGAGCAGAGGGAGTGACTTTAAACCTCCCACATAGTTTCCTCTGACCAGTTAGGAGGAGATCAAAGTACCTTATTAGTTTGTCTTTAGTTGTGGAGGATTCACAGTAGCAGAATAGCTTACCTTCATTTAGACAATCAAATAAAAAAGGTAAATTCACTGCTAAAACATATTGATCATTTGCAGATACACTCCAGGGTGTTTATGACAAACAAATGATGTTTTTTCCAAAGCTACCTCTGCATTTCATTAATAAAGGGAGCTGGTGAAGCATAAGGCAAAGGCGGAAGGGGAAACTACTAATAAAAGACATGACACTGTGTTTCATCACAGTGACAAAGCCAACAATAGCTGTGGATGGAATAAATCTATTCACCAGTTCGGTAAAAATAGCAATATATCATAGGAACCTCTGCTTTGTTTTTAACCTAAAGTATAGTGAAAGAGTTCAACTTACTATTTTTAGTGACACATTTTGGCTCAGCACCAGCTCCAGGCATCATTCAAGGTTGGGATGCACGACGTCTCGGATATCTTTGATGCATCATGACTTGTTTCATTGTGAGATGTAATAAACTTGGGTATAGTTTTTCATAACAATCTGCATCTTATTATTCACTGAGGATTTATACTGTATAACACAAGAAAAGCCTAAAAAGATTGAGATAATAGTGCTTCGACTCAATTCGTTTTTTATGTGGTGCCAATTCTCACCAAAACTCAACAAGAGGTATGCTGATGTTCCCTGGCGCTGAGGGGGGGTTTGAATAGTAAATGTTTAGTGATAAGTGTTTTTTCTGGACAGGGAATGCAGGCAAACCTTTACGTTTTTTGTGCAAGATATACAAATGGGAAGGAATTGCATTGGGTATAAGAAGAGAGGTACTTTTTTTTTGCTTGTCTGAGGTGTGTTAAGGATCCTAGAATGCGTTTGGAGTAATTCTATCCACCACAAGGTACAACGGCAGAGTTAGGGGGTGGTTAATAGTGGACTCGGCGATCATATATTAATCTTCGGCCACCCAAATTATCGGAAGCACCTTTATCTGTTAAGCAATATGAAAACTAAAAGCATAGTTCCTTCAAAATGATTGGGGTGGCGTGTTTACATACTATGGTGATGTACCATATTTTCTGGCGTATAAGTCACATCAGTTAAAAAAAGCATCATGAAGAGAAAAAAAACATATTTAAGTCGCTTCGGCGTATAAGTCACATTTATTATGCGTTTATTTAATGGTCAAAAAAGCTCCATTTCACCTGTGCAGTGTGGCACCATCTATCCATCCATCACGGCCGGAGTCGCCAATTCTCCAGCGTACCTCCACCTGCACCAGCTGAGTGAAGCGAGCGCGCACGGGAGGACTCGCTGTTGCAGTTTCTTTTTTTAATTTAAGGCGTCAATCAAAAATTGCGTCATGAATATGGAAAACAAAAATAACATATATAAGTCGCTTTGGCATACAAGTCGCAGGACTGACAAATCTATGCAAAAAACTGTGACTTATACGCCAGAAAATACGGTTCTATGGTGAAAGCCATCTTGAATTTTGATGTGGCAACCCAATTTTCAGTAGTTACATTTCTTACTCCTAAATGCATCCACACGCCAAAACGGAAGTCGGCACATTGCTTATTTTTTTAAATATACAGCTCACAGGATTTACATATATGGCAACAGCCATCTTGGATTTTAACATGGCAACCCACTTTTAGATAGGAGCCTTCCTTATGCCTAGTTGCAGCCACACACTAAAATTCAAGTTATTACCCTATTTATTCTCCAAGTTATCCAGCTCACAATACAAACAGAAGGTATTTTCATGCCCCCTCTTAACTTCATGACAATAGACAAAAAGATGGAAAACTGTAAAAATTAAAAATGAGTCATTTTTGTCTTTAACCAACTCACTCATTCATCCTGTGGTCCTGAATGTGTCGATGGAGGGATATCTTGTCACTGATGTAGATGTTGATAGCGTAGCGCTCCACAGCTTCCTCCTCCTGCTTCTTCTCCTCTGGGCTCAGGTTGAGGTGTGTGGCCCGACCCCACTCCCCTGGTGCGTTGTTGTCTGGTGACAGTTTAACATAAAGAGGTCTAGCCAGCTTCCCATCCATCCCACTCTCTTCTACGGACAGCTGCCTCGCCCGCATATTGTGCTCGTCTTCTTCATCCTGTCCTGACGAGGAGGAGGGGAAAGAGGAGCGCGCTAACAGAATGTAGCCCAGCCACAGCAGCCACAGCAGGAAGCCAGCTTTGGCCAGCACGCCGAGTTTTCGAGAGCAGCGCCCCCTCATGATGAAGAGCACGAGGGCTCCGTGATGAGCCGAGCTTCAGGGAGCCCGTCAGGACACCAGCATTTGACGGATGAAATAAAAACAGTATTGTATCACATCTGGAATACAAGAAAAAGATGAACAGTCTAAATAATCCAAACACTGCACTCGTCCCAAAGTGCTCGATAATCCAGTAAAAATCCATAACAATCACGTAAAAGTTTCTCCACAGTACATCTACACCCAATAAATGCTGTGTTCGCCTTTAAACGCCCCGAGAACACAGCTCAAATCGACCAGAGCAACGGTAATCAACATCGACACCATAAACGCATTCGCCTGCTCAGAGCTGCGTTAAGATGCTCATTAAATACAAATTGCGCAGATGGAAGAGGCTAAATGATGGATGACAATACAGCAGTGCGCTGAATAAATGGCGTGTGCGATACACTCCGGTGAGAGACGCCGTTCATTAGCCTGATGAACTTCATTATGATGATGCCGTTTATAAGCGTGACGCATCGCAGCGAGCCTTTAGAAATAAACGATGAGATTCTCGGCTTAAAACGTGCAGCGGTGATGTTGATCACCTTTTCACATATTATTGGTGGTTTCTAATCGCCTGGTTCACATTTCACCGACAATTTCCCTTTAGGCATTATTGCGGTTCCGCTCGTTCTCATTCATGTCAGCACCAATACTGAAAATACCTCAGAGGTAGAGACATGTAACAAAAGTTTGATCCTATGAAAATAAAAAGAAAGTCAAGTATTTTTCAATTCTAAGTTTGCACATTCAGGATATAATCAAAGTGATCTAGTCTTTACTGGGTTCTAAAATGATTCAACACTAACCTCAAGTGGACACAAACACTCAACAGATTATATATGTTCATATTTAATCAACAATAACAAAGCCAACGTGGAAACTGTGTTTGAAAAACTAAGCACAAGCTCAAAGTTTGTTTTCTCAGTCATCCAGGTATATAACAACAAAAAAGGTTGAATCATGTCATCTGGACTTTGTTTTTTTGTTAAAAAGAAACGTTTCGCCCCTCATCCAAGAGGCTTCGTCAGTCTGAGGCCTAGCCATCTGGTATTACCCAGAAGCCACCCTGACTCTTGTGTTTCAAGCCTGCCTCAGATACCCCTGAAGTCTGGCCTTTTCACTAATGGTTTCAAAAACACAAAGTTTGTTTTCTCAGTCATCCAGGTATATAACAAGCACAAGCACAAGCTGTGGCGCAAAGATCCCTGAGTATACCAGGTGGTCAGTAGTTCAGGAGCACCACAGGGTACTGTACTCTCACCATTTCTTTTCACTCTGTACACCTCAGATTTCCAGTACAAAACAGACTCCTGTCATCTGCAGAAATATTCAGATGACTCTGCAGTGGTCGGGTGTATCAGAGATGGACAAGAAGCTGAGTACAGGGAACTGGTGGTGTGGTATGGTGTGGAAACAATCATCTCATCTTGAATGTGAACAAAAGGAGATGATTGTAGATTTCAGGAGAAACAGGAACAGGTCCAACACTATTTCCATCATGGGAGAAGTGGAGGTGGTGGAGAAGTATACAGTAAATACCTTGGGTTTCACCTGGACAGCAGACTGGACTGGAAATGCAACAGTGAAGTCGCCTTCAAGAAGGGACAGAGCAGACTGTACATCTTGAGGAAGCTGAAATCCTTCAACGTTTGCATCAAGATGCTGCATATAATAATAACTTTTATTTATAATGCACTTTACATTCACTGGGAATCTCAAAGTGCTACAATGTCTTCTATAAAGCCCCCAGTATACTCCTGCGTACGTCCATCCATGCATACGTACGCACGTACTGTAGGCAGAGGGTTCAGACTTCATACTCGAGCATCCACCCTGAGCAGCTGCACAGCAGCTCCACAGACAAGGGGCGTTTACCTTCGGGACAAATTGAGGTCGCCGATTGGTCATTTGTTGACACGCCTACTGGATTGATTGACAGGTAGGGGGAACAAACGAGCACTGGCACCCTCAGCCGCATCTGTGTTCTGTGTTTATATGTTGTTAATAAAAGATCTAAAAAAAAAATTAAAAAAAAACGGGGAGCGCTGGCCCTGCAGCCCACACATCAGACCAGTCCACCAGGAAATCTCCAGACTCTCCCGCAGCCACGCTGGAGCTGAGTTTAATTCACTCGTACAAATTCCTTAATTTCTCACCATTTCAGTCAGGGCATCAACGGAGGAGGAAGAGATCACTGCCTCTTGGCAAAAAACAAAAAAACAAAAGAAAGGGCCAGATCAGGGATGAAGAAGAGGAATTTAATACATTGGTGTCACGTACAAAACAGTCCGTCGCCGGGCAGTTTATTGTGCGACACAGAGTACGCAGTCATAAAAATTGAGCTTTGCGAGGACATGCCCTGCGGGGGTACGCTCGTACCTCCGTGTATGGACGTACACGGGAGTATACTGGGGGCTTCAGTCTGTTGTAGAGAGCGCCATCTCTCCTGTCATCATCTGCTGGGGTAGCAGCACCAGAACAAGGGACTTCAAAAAGATCAACAAGCTCATAAAGAAGGCTGGCTCAGTTCTTGGGACTCCTCTACAACCTTTGGGGATGACTGTATGAAGGATTCTTCATAAAATGAAGAACATTATAGACAACCCTCAGCACCCTCTTCATCAGACTGTCATACAACAACAGAGGGTCAGAGGCTTCAGACCGCTACAAGAGATCCTTCCTGCCCACAGCCATCAGCATCTAGAACAACTCTTTAATGAAACCAGAATGATGAGTTACAACAACATTTAATTTCCCTCTGGGGTTAATAAAGTTTTTTTTAATTGAATTGAATTTGATGTGTTTGTACAACCCCATTTAGCAGCAATAACCTGAAGTAGTTGTTGATAATAAGACTTTATCAGCCTCTCGTGTGGTTGTGGAGGAATGTGGCCCGCTCCTCTTTACAACATTACTTCAGTTCATTTAGATTTGTGGGTATTTGTGTCTGCTCGACCCTCCTGAGCACCTGTATTTTGAACGGATGCAGTGACTGGAGCGTTGTAACGTATTGATTTGTTTCTTCTTCCGGTGTGGATTTGCTCCTGCTGTTTTGAGTCACTACTAATGTTCTGTTTCATTTATCAACTAGTTTAGTCAAAGCTTCAGCTGTCAAACAGACATGTGACTAAAATAACGTCCAGAGAAGATCACGGTCAACTTAACAACAGCCATGCTGTCAAGGTCCTGCAGCTGCAAAACAAGCCCCGCTCCACCATTTCCTGTTTTATACACTTTAGATTTGAATCCACTTCCAACCTAATAACCAGATCATTTTGATTGTCTCCTAATACAGAACACTCTTGAATAGAAAGGCAAACTTTCTTTTCCCCATGGTTCCATCTTCTAAAACAATGTTTTTACATCATTTTAGCACCTGTTGAGCATCTTTTCTGTTAAAATCTTGCATTGTTGCGCAATATCTCAGCATTAAAAAACACAGTGTTGTCGACGTATTCAAACGCTCAAGCCCGAGCAAGGCTTGTTTGAATGCTGATGCTGTAAAGACCAGGGCTCCTGCTTTTATTTTCTCCTAGTGAACCGAAAAGAGACATTGCTAAATATATTTGCACAAGGACAAATAACCCTCTTGCTTATTAAAAAAAAAAAAAAAAAAAAGAGGATTAGTTTCAGTTTGTAGACGCACAAAGACGGCAATTTCAGCATTCGCGTCTGACAGATGAGCTTAATGTGCCACATTCTGAATGGAGCCTGCATTTAAAAACAGACCACTTAGCTGTGCTGACACGGGACTGAATGCAAGCACATAATCGCGTTGCATTAATGTTACATTCACAGTCACGTCGCATGCTTATTTCCCATTTCGATTCAAAAACTAATCGTTGAAATAGTGTGCCCTCAGAGAAAAACCTGCCAAATCTAAAAGAAAGAATAAATTAAGCTGCTGCACGAGAGTCTATAGAACCACAATCAAATTAAAAAGCTTCCTCTTCTCTGTGAGTCCTTTAAGGCAGCAACGCCGCCTTTTTACTCCAAAGTTTGGCCCCGGGCCAGAGGACTCTGGACCCCTGAGGTTTCAAAATGGAGACGCCTGCAGACAAAACCCTCTTTTATTGGCTGTCCATCACCTTCCACCCGCTCTGAATCGGATAGCCATGCTCGGGGAGCATTTCAGAAAAGAGCAAGAGGGACACAGATGCAGCTTTTAATCTTGACCCACTTTTCATTCTTTTTTTTTTTTTAGGTATCAAGATAGAATTTCAGCCAAAAAAAAAAAAAAAAAAAAAAAACATGAGCTTTTTGCTTTCTTTTCTTGAGCTGCATTCTCTGTTTTGTTAAAAATCCCTGCTGATATTGACAGTGACATGACACACGTGTGCAGGCTTGACTTTTAGTCTCAGCTCTGAGGTTTACAACAGGACACATGTTAATGTCCCACTGGTGAACCTGGAGTGAACCATAGTGCAGCACGTGGCTCATTGAACTATCAGCTGGTCAAGGGAGAAAGATAAATATGGGTGTAATGAGTTGTAGAAAATCCACATGACTGGATCCCTTTCAGCAATGATTCTGAGTACGTCAATGTAAAGAGAGCCAGGCTGGAATATTCAGAGTCACTCCAAACAGACTGCGCTTTAAAACAGGAGCTTTAATAATTCATAAGAATAAAATGACTAAATCCTTCACTCTTTAATCATCATGTTTTAGAGAAGGTGCAGCAGGGACCAAAAAAGGATGGTTGAGGAGACGATGGAAGGAAAAGAAGGAGTGCAGACACTTCAGCAACAGGTTTCCTGACCTGTCAAACCGAATCCACCTCGGAGGGCAGAGAGAGGAAACTTTGGCTCAGCTCTACAGAAAAAGTCGCTTCAGGTTTTCCAATGAGCGCAGCTCGGATGCGGAAGCGCAACGACAAATCATAACTTTACCGCCTCCGTGTTATTCTTTCATGTGACGTGAAAGCTGTTTAACTAACCTCTCTAAAGGCGCGAATTAGTCGAGTTTAACGACGTTACCGAGAGCCCCGAA